TTATAGTTTGAAGTATTTCTTGTTATAAGCCAGGAAACGGTCAAGGCTCCTGCATTGTTGCATTCCTGTTTCATATTATGTTGATGGAACAGATTGTGGTTCATTCACAGGTTAGCCCAGTTCCCTTAAATCAAAAGACAGAGTATATGAGTAAATTTGAGATCATTATGACAGTAGATCACTGGATCTAAGTCAAACATGAATGTAATATGTATTCTTTTTGTCTTGTAGACTCCTCTGGAAGATAGTAGATAACACTTTTTTCAGGTTTTATGCAAAGAGGCTGCATGTTTAGTAAAATTGTGTAATTTTCATCGTGAATCAAGTGTCTCTTTGTCTGTAGCCCAGTGACACATTTCTCCTGCTCCACTTGCCACCTGTATGTATGCTCCAGGTCCTTGTAGTTCAGACGACTGGTAACCTGATTTCATACTGTGTAATGTCATAAACACTAACTTCAACTATTGTGCATAACTTGTGGGACTTCTGACATCCGGAGTGACTTGGAGGGTATAATAAAATTTGCTTTAAGTTCTTTGGAGACCTGGCATCAGATACTGTGCTTTGTTCCCTCTGTGAAATACAGCATTCAGATCTCTCTGATTCTAGGCTGTAGAGGTCTTTTGGCTTTGGAATGTTCACTGGCTCCCTCACTTTGACCACAGCTGATGTGGCTTGCTGTTAAGACTGATGATGTTGTACCAGCTTTTCTTGAAAGATGAGTTAGAAGATCTCCAACAGGAAACTCTCTTGTCTCTTGTGAATAATGATTATCTCACTCTCTCTTCATGCAGAGTTCCTTGGCCCAATTTTTGTGTAAAGACAGCCATATTATGAGCCTAAAGCCTAAATGTTCTTGTTGTATCACTCGATCAATCCCAATCACACTGGAGCTTACGTTTACAGTGTTGGGATTGATCTTTGTAAGTGTAGAATTCATTCACTGGGATGGAATAGTTGTGCTGTTGAGCATGGTTTCATTCTGTACCTGAAATAATCATGTTTGAGTGGGAATGATTACGACAGGAAAGTTTGCCCAAGAGAAATGTCTTTGCTATTTGACGAAGGATTCATTCATGTAGCATTACTGCAAAGACCGGAAAGACAATATGTCGTTTATTTAATTAGTCAATCAGCAGGAAACTAATCAAGTTAAAGTCAAATTTGTTGGTTTCATCTCTTTTAATGTGAGGATTTGTTGCTTTTCTCTCCCTGCGTATAACTCTAAATTCAATTAATTTGGGGTTTGGACTGCTGCTCAAACAAAACAAAGCAACTTAAAGATGTACTTCTGAAAGTTTAGACACAGACTTCATGCCACCCCTGCATAAGTCAGTTTAGCCACTCTAAATCCTGGGAGCAGGAGAAAACCGTATAAAGTAATCAATAGCTGTTGGTCTGGGTGTTGTGTTTCTTTTCAAACAGAGCCAGCATCGCTGTTTTTCACTGCCTCCACTCTTTATGCCAAGCTAAGCCAACATTGACACCTGACCTTAACATCTACCAGGACAGTATGTCAGTATCCTTCACATACATATAAATATATCCTTAAATGCTGTTAGCATCCTGTTACTTTTGAAAGGTTCTTGTATTGCAGGTTACACCTCCGTTAGGGACACTTGAACCTATTGAAATGGATGACTTGATTAACAAGTCATCCATTCAGTGTTCAGAAATAGATATACATAATATGTATGTTCAGTGTTAATAGGCAAGTGACAGAAATGGGCATCTATGTATAGTGCACCCTAAGGTCCTGTGGAGTCATGACTAGGAAGCTGTAAGTGGTAAAATGAGATGTTGTGTAATCACTTAAAGGGTCATTACAGTCATGGAAGCTCTAATAATCAGACTGCACAGACATGGACCATGAGTTCACAAATACCAAGCAATATGGTAGAAATAATAATTTTCTTGCACTTTATGTTTAAATGTGAATGTTTGTCAGCATGTTTAATACATTACACTAAAACAATAAAAACATGAATTGACAGGCAGATTGGAATAGAAAGATTTATTCCAGCTAGTGGTTAAAGAGTAAAGCCCAGTTGAGACCAAAGATTCACAAC